GTTTATCGCTGTAACTAATCTTATTATATTAAACTTGATGCATCAACTGCGTCAAACGTGATAATTATAAGATTGTGAGACGTGCAAAACGAAGTTGAAATAAAATTCGTCGAAAAGATTATCGAAGTTGAAAATTGTTTGGTGAGAAGATTAAAAGAACACAAACGCTTATTATATAAATACAAAATATTATTATCTATGATGATTTGGGTATGTAAAACTAAATATGATTTTATCACATACTCGCATATACGGATTCTTTACCTATTACTATATAAATTAACTAGAATAGAACCCGCGTTAATACGCGGATAAATACTATAAAAATTAAAAAAATAAATATTTAAGTTTTAATTAGTAATAAAATCAATATTTATATTTAAGTTTTAATTAGTAACCCGTTAAATTTTAAAATATTATTTAACGTGAATCCTAAAACCAGTAGATGTCAATTTATATCATAACTCTCATGTTCTAATACATATCATGAAAATCCAAAAATATATATTATCAGAATTTAAATCATATTCTTAATAATAGAAAAAATTTGTACCCATCATGAATATTTATTATTATGTGATAGAAAATAAAAACAATTAAAAAACTATATAGTTAAATAAGAAATGAGTAAATTTTATGTTAGTAACCTCATAAAAGCTATCACATAAGTACATGATTGATAATTGTATTTTATTAATGTCATCGATTTATTTCTCATAGAGATTTATACTCGCCAAATTTTATACAATATTAACTTAATAGTAAAGATAATATTATTTTTTTTAAACTTATATAAATTTTCAATATAAACACTTGAAGAGTATCAATGGCATCATAGGTCGAATATTTCTATTTTCTTTGTGATATTTTATAACTCTATATTGATAAAATAAGTATTCTTATAGATTTTATTTTTATTTTATTTTTGCATAGTTGTGTATATTTTTAAATTTTTAAATTGAAGTTTCTATAATCTTTCCAACTTTTGTTTTTCCAATTTATATACCTTTTTTTTATCATTCGTCTATAAACTTTTATCTTTTTTTTTCCAATTTAAATATCATTAGTCTTTATATTTATTTTAATTAAAATTTTTATTCTATATGCATTATTTATTTATTTTATGGCTTATATAATATTTATATGTTATGTTTATATTAGCAAAATCACACTTATCAATATGATATTTTTTTATCTTTAACTATTTAGATAAAATTTATAATGGAAAGAATGTATTTTGTAATATAAAAATATAGAAACCTTACCTATTTTAGTAGAACGATTTTTTTTTCTTAATTAGTTCGTAATATTTGTTTAGAATATATTCTTTATTTTATTTTTATTATTTTGTTAATATTGAAAATATTATATATTTTAGTAGAATGATTTTTTTTCTTTCTTAATTAGTCAATAATTCTTGTTTAGAATATATTATTTATTTTCTTTTTAAATATTTTTGTCAATATTAACACATGTCACAATCTAAATTAACAATTACACATGTCATGGTGCTTAAGAATTTTGCCTACGTGTCAAGTTTTCATCGCGCATTCTCTTTTATATAATAAGATTAATTTTTATATTCCCAACATTATTAATTTATAGAGCTTTTAATAGGTTGGGAAGTTTGGATTGTTGTTTAGCCAAAAGGTTGCACTAGCCATTGAACCAACCTCGTAACACTGGCCCTTAAATCAAGTTTGTGTGAATTTAACTCATGATAAGTCATTTTATCGCCTTTAAAGATTCTTATACAGTAATTTATCAAAACTTCTATAATATATGAAAAATTTTACATGGTCTAAGAAAAACCCTCAATAAATTCATCTTTGTCTTGGTTCAAAATCATTTTGACACAAGTCACACAACTATCTCCAAACGTGTGTCGATGATTAACCACACCCCAAACTAAAATCATCACCGACTCAAATTCAGAAAAATTATGTAGCTTTAAAGATTTTTTCTTTCTCAATCCCACTAAACCGAGAGAAGGTAATTTCATCATGAACAACAAACGTTAAAAGAACAAAATCTACGGGAAAAAAAACACATGATAATGTATTGTACTATTCATTTTTCATATTCATTATCAAATTACAACCATG